ATTTTTCCTGCATTCTGTGTAAGCAGATGCGGCAGTAGTGGTAGTTTGAGGAAATTGGCTGCCACATACTTGAGCATTGTAAACCATGGCTGTTGAGGCCGCCACGGTGCTATGAAGATGGTGTTGGCCTTTGTTTGATGAATTTTTACCAATGTCCTTTGAATAAGCGGAATCGGGGGAAGAGGTAGAGGAGATTGGTTGTCCACTGTACCATAAAAGCATCCCCTAAAGATGCTTCTCCCCTGCCTGCTCATCAGGGCCAGATGTAGAAGATGGTGTCATGGTAGACTCCATCGTGTCCGGTTTAGAAGATGAAAGGGTCTTGTCCCAAAGATAATTTTAATCTTTGTTGGCGAGCCTTCAGAGCAGGTTTTGTAAATTTTTGCACTCTTTACAGGACTGGGGCTTATGTCCTTTTCCTAAACAAAAAAGACAGCAGTCATGCCCATCTGAGAATGGACGTTTACAGGAGCACGAAACGTACCTGCTGAAGGGGCCTGATGGGGACATGAAGCACTAGTTATTTTCCCAAGAAAAAAAGGGGGTCAGGAAAAGACTCACGTCCAGAAAGTGATGGTCAAAAACAGTCCGAGTCAAGATCCAATAAAAACAGTCCAATTATTGAAGATGAAAAACTAAATCACCACACGAAAGCGGGAGTCGATGACAGACCAAGATTGGCAACAGCAAAAACAGAATACCAAAACCAATTCATGTATCAAAGAAGAAACTTTTACAATCTGAAGTCAAAACAAGAGGCAACAAGAGCAAGTCATAGTCCGAAAACAGTCTGAAGTCAAGAACCAGTCTGTCAGTCCTAAATAGCAATAATTTAAGCTCTAGCACGAGAAGTTCCTAACGCCAAGGCAGTAAAATGGAACTGAGGCATGCGCTATAAGGGGCAATGGTCAACTTTTGTTACTTTTAAAGCTCTAGAATATTCCGAGGAGTCCAGAGCAGGTGCAGACTGAACCCATTTGTGTGCATTCACAGAGGCCACGAAGAAGTATTATTTAGCAATATGGTTATAAGCAGACATAAAAACTGAGATTATAGATGGAGATTTAAAGCAGCAACTGGTTTTTCTGGTTTGGCTAAACCCAGCAAACTATGGTGAAATGGTAGATAGTGGTTCATCAAAATCTGCAAATGGAAGCAGATTGTTCATCTGTTTAAGTCCAAAACTTGAGTTTGTTTATTCCTTTAATATTAAACAGGGATCCCAATGAAAACAATTCCATTTAATAACAATAATAAAAATAAAATAGTTTGCTAGGCCATTTTCCTTTTGAAGAAGTAGTAGTTGGAGATCAGTCTTTTATAATATTTTTGGATATTTTTATCTTGGTTCTGTAGAGCTATGACTTCAAACCAATAAGTCACATTTGAATCCTAACTTAGCTATAAAAGATTGAAATTCAGAATATATATTGACAGTGATTTCAGCTGAAGTCTGTCAACTTCATTTGTTCATAATCCTTTTTGCCAAAGGCAAAATGCAATGCCCTAGTCCTGATATGTGGTATTAACTATGTTAAAGCAATAAATGTATGATCGATTTAGATGGTATTTTTTCCCTTTTAATGCTGAGTACATTGCAAATGGGGCCAGGGGAGGCCTGCCCTTTTATCTTTTATGAAGCCCCCTCTGTTGTTGTCTGTAGGAGATCAGTGGCTTTGGTAAAATGGGGAATATTGGAAGGCAAGGGTTCCAGATTTCATTAAGGTGAAATTATCTCGTGGTTGTTCTGGGTTTTTTGGGCTCTTTGGCCATGTTCTGAAGGTTGTTCTTCCTAACGTTTCACCAGTCTCTGTGGCCGGCATCTTCAGAGGACCACAGAGTCACTAGAGGACAGAGTGCTGTCCTCTGAAGATGCTGGCCACAGAGACTGGCAAAACATTAGGAAGAACAACCTTCAGAACACGGCCAAAGAGCCTGAAAAACCCACAACAACCATTAGATCCTGGCCATGAAAGCCTTCGCGAATATACTGAAATTACACCCTTTACCTTCTTCAAGACTTGCCTCTCTATTAAATATAGCACAAGTAAGCGGGAACTGGAATAATTGCAGTAATTCTTAATGATTTACTGTATATTATTAAAACATTTACATCACCTTTCATTGTTTTTTGGATTGACAATTCATCATTATTAAAATCTATACAACCAGTTCAGAATAAATTAAAGTGTTGGGGCAAACAAAAATGCTTTTACCAGGCACTGGAAGGATTGCAGTGTAGGTGCCAGGCAGGCTACACATGTTCCAAAACAGAGGTGATACTTTAAATCACTCTCTTTAGTGACCGACTACTATGTCTGATAAAGGTAGGAAGATACCCGAAGGAGGTCTCACTGAAAGTCCTCAAAAGACTGGCAGATTGATATGGAATGAGATGCCCTTTCTTCTTCATTCCAATGTGTTTCAAAGATGAGGACCAGAATCCTGAGTTGGGCCCAGAAGCAAACAGGTAGCCAATCTTACATATTTCAGATCAGGTGAGTAAATAAATTATGTGGTGGCACATGTAATGTGCTGTCGAGTATCTTGGCTCCCCCCCTTTTTTTGCCATTGGTCCTATTGATCAATCAGAGGCAGTAAGTAAATTGTGTTCTTACAGGAAATTGCTTTTGAAATGGTTTCATGGGAAAAGGTAAATGAAGTTAAAAAGAGAAAAACAGCTACATCTACCAATGACATTATTTACAGCTTTCCAGTTACTAGCCATCTTGTAAGGTGCTAATTTTAGTGTTCAAAACCTACAGTTTAGAGAAACATCACAAGGAACTGCAAACACAGAACTAGCCATGGGTTGTATATACTACATAATGGATTTTACTAGAACTAATCACGTAAGATTCAATACTACAAATATACCCCCCATTATCTTGAGAAGTGCCAGCACAAAAGCCACTCCTTTAAGGGAACTAACTGTTTTGTGGAAATGGTCACGAGAACACAAATAATGATATTTACCTTCCTAGGTGGTTATATGAAAATGTGACATTTTAATGTGAAGTGCTGGCATGCCTTAGTACTGCCTTGTGCCTTCTCCATGTAAAAATACCAAATGATGATAAAACATAATTTTTCAGAACACTGCTTGATATTTTCACAAACCCACTCACAGTGTGTTTGTATATGCTAAATACACATGTGGATATAAAGAAAAGTCCTCTCAGAAAGCTTTAATGCCATAAGCTTCCGCTTATTCACATTTCATACTTTTCAACTCATCTTAGAAACCAAAACTATGTAGTGACAAATAGAAATGCTCAACTAAATGAATCCTTTTTGCAAAATACAAGACAGATTTTGAACCAATATGTTTCTATCTTTCTCCAACTTGTTTAATAAGAACAACAAAAGGCCTGGTAGAAATCTCTTTGTGGGGTTTAAAAAAATCTTTTCTGAACCATGCTAGGAAACTTGACTGGTGTAATGAAGGAGAACAGGGGACAACAAAACTGTTTCTTCATGAAACTGTACAGTGAAACTCAAACGATAAATGAGAAGCATGCTCTACATCCAAAGCCTCTTGCCTGCAACCTTTCGCTGATATTGGAAACGTACCAAGACAAGGTCACAGAAGATTCTATTCTTAATTAAAGTTTTTATTTAAAGGAACCCATTTCAAATAATAGTTAAATTCTCTAAATGTATATAATTTATTAACCATAATGTAATCTCATTAACCTTGAAATCCCCAGCCTTAATACACATTATAGCATCATCTAAGAAACTAATTAAAATGACCTTCATACTATTTCTTCTTCATTTGCTGTCATTATTTATCCTTTTTTGTTACTCTGCCCTGGGGCTGTCATAAACCCTTCCCTATTAACTCATTCCATATATGCTTCAATTCCAAATAAAGTCCTCTTTTCTTCTCAAAAGCATGGTTACTATCTTGTGCTCTTGTTATTGATGCAATGGGTCTCCTGGGCACTTTATCCTCTACTTTTGCTGGCATACTTACTATCTTACTGTAGCTTTCTAGCTATCTGATGCTCTGTCACCAGTCTCTGGGGTGATTCCTTAGTGCTGTGAACCAGAATCAACTCTACCTGTTTACTCAAAATAAGTCCTACTGAGTTTGATAGGGCTTACTTTTCAGGTAAGCAAGAACACGTCTGCGTGTTTTTGTTTTTAAACTATAAAGGATTATTATGACAGCAGGTCCAAACGGAGTACAACAAATTAAGTAAAACTGACTTTAAGAGACTAAAATGTAACGAGTATTGCTCTCAGGATAAGACTTGGAGTACCCACTGAGCAGAAGGCGCAAAAAGCCTCTGATGCAGCAGTACTAGTTTATCACATAACAGCTGAAATCCTGTTTGTAAGAATGATGTCATAAGCCATGGAGATTTTTCAGAAATAAAACATTTCCAATTCCACCATCCCCAAAGTTCCTAGGGCTCCTATTGGATTCCTTTCATTGTGGGGAAGCTGTTGTAGGTCATAGGATGGTGGAAGGGGAATGGTCTTTAATTTCTAAAAAACTGCCAGTGTAATGCAGTTGTCAAGCATGTATATCTACCAGGCAGTCAATGGCAATAAATAAATGGAAGCAAGAAACTCCAACAGGCCTTAGCTAGGAGGACAGGAGGTACCAGAGTATGTAAGTTTAAAAGGGAACAAGAATCTCATGAGACAGCTTGATTATATAAATGAAGGCCAATATCAGAGTGTGTATATGCAACTGTGTAAGTATCCCTCCCACTCTGGCAGGTTGCTGCATCCATGCCTGTTCTCCTAACTGGCCATGTGATGGGAAACCTACCAGAGCAGGGGGGATGTTTCTATTATTACTCTTTGTCTTTGTGTTTTTTCACTAAGGTTCTACTAGAAACCTTATATCCCTTGTTTCCTTTTGTTCAGTTGCTTTCTGTTGTACAACAAATATACTGTAGTTTATGATCCAGAATAAGAGAAATGCCTTTCTTGTTGAAACTAGAGAAAAGGGTATTTTGTGAAAATAAGCATTATCTTCTCACCGACACACCCTCTCCTGTGAGGGCTGAACAAGACTGAATCTGCCACACTCTGTCACGGATGGTGTGCAAATTCAGGCCTTCTGCAATTTCTGCAGCAGGGGCTGCTGTCAGCAAATCCTGTTTATTCGCAAAGATGAGCACAGGAACACCACTTAGCTTCTCTTCATCTACAAGCTCTGCTAGCTCCTGTAATCACAAATAAATTTTCTTAAAATAATTGGGAATAGACAGCTGATATTTTGTTGCTAAGTAGCTAGGCATTTAGGACAAATACTAGAGTTTAATGCTTTGGTGAAGCATAGATGCTATAGTAAAATAAGTGAGTTATTCAATTACTAAAACCAGGATTTTAAACTCAGTTTTTCCGAATCTATATTACAGAGGTTTTCATTCTGTCTGATGTAATGGGTTCTCTTTAGGGCATTAAATTTATACATTACCAATCCTAGTCCTCTGAAGACCTGCACCAATGACACAGCAAAAATAAAATACTGGCACTATTATAACCAGATTTGTCCACATGGTGTGCAGCAGCTCCTGAAAACAGGTGGTTTCATCCTGCATATGCTTCAAATTCTGCAGGAATGCTAAATGTAAGCTTTGAACTTTGGTCCAGTTTAATCAACTGTCATTCATGAATAGGACAGCACTGATAAAATCTCATTTCAGAAACAAAACTCATCTTCAAAGAAGGCAGCTGTTGTAGCTACTAAGAGAGATGCTGAGCATCTTTGTGCAATGAGCTCTTGTACACAACTATTGGGATTATATTCTTCAAGACAAAAAGAAATGGGACCTACTAATCTTTCTCTGTGACAAAATTCACTGTAAAATCAACCTTCAAACTGAAGGCAACACATCTATACTTAATGATTAGATGCCTGGAAGACAAAATTCTCCAGTCCCAAACTTGCAGTAAGTAATACCAGAAAGAAAAGATCCTAGCAGAGGAAGCACAAAATACAACATGGTGGTTAGTGACACGATTATGAAGACTACGTACGCAAGATTACTTCTCAGACTATGTGTGAATATAGTTATGCCAGTGCAGGTAGAATAACATCACCACCATTAGAAGACTGCTGCTACCTGAATAATCCCTGCTTTAATTTTTGGTTGTGTGTGATTCGTATATGAGACAAAGTCATATGCATCATGAACTCAAAGCAGAGACTATTTAATTACTGGCAACTTCCCACTGCCAGTGACATCAATTTTCATGTACTGGTGTGGCTATGCAACAGAATTCTGGTGTTTAATATATTTGGACAGTTCCAGATCTACTGAATCTGTAACTAACCACTATGTCCTTGGATACAGCTTAAGCATTAGAAGAAGACTGAGGCTCAGAAAAGACAATCAAATATAAGGACAGGCCACTTGGCATGAAGCCCAAGATCATCTACATCAGTGGTTCTTAACCTTGGGTTACTCAGGTGTTTTTGGACTGCAACTCCCAGAAGCCTTCACCACCAGCTGTGCTGGCTGGGGTTTCTGGGAGCTGCAGTTCAAAAACACCTGAGTAACCCAAGGTTAAGAACCACGGATCTACATCACTGTATTACCAATTGCTATATATGGACATGAAAGCTAGACAGTGGAAAAAGCTGACAGGAAAAGAAATTATTTCATCCAAAATGTAGTGCTGGAGGGGAGCTTTGCCAGAAAGATGAACAAGTCGGTCCTAGATCAAATTGAGTGTGAACTCTATCTAGAAGTGAAAATGATGGACCTGATGCTATTGTACTTTGGGCACACTATGGGAAGACAGGAAATCACAGGCTTGACTTTGCAAGAGCTGAACAGGACTGTTATTGATAAAATATTGTTGAGATCATTCATTCATAGAGTCACCATGAGTCTGTCGTGACTTGAACACCACATAACAACAATGCAGTGGAAAAAATCAATCAATGCAGCATTTATGTGCATGCAATTTATACTCCACCATGTGTACAAAAGATCTATGAAATTGCCAAAATAATGATATTGAAGTAGCCCACTACCAGTCAAAAATAGTCTAATATATGTTCACAATTTTAAATTGTGCAACGCTCTGATATAAAGAAAGAACAACACAGCTTTAGCAGTTTTAACATTCTCTTATGATAGTGGCCTAGTATTTCTAACCATTGCTGAACATAACCTAGAGATCTTGGGTTAAATGAGTTTAATTCCTAAGAGGCAGTTTCAGGATAAACTGTCCACATTAAATTATTAGAAAACTGTTTTTGTTATAAAGTTGTACTTTAAACTAGACAGATAAACTACTTAGAACTTCAGTGAAAAGCTGTAAAGAGTATATTTTTTCATTTGGTCTTAGAAACACACCTGAGGAAAAATAAAAAGATCTTTAGAAGTGCTATTCTTCTATAATTATGATTTATGAATTATAATTATGATTCTTCTATGATTATGACTAGTTCCTTCAGTACTCTAGCAAAAAACCTATTGAATTAAAAAGAAATTCCTTATTTCCCCTCCAAAAAAAAGAACAACCAGAGTTCCATCTTAAATGTCTGAAAATGATCAATGTACTGCAGATTCTAGAAGAACAGATACATTTATTTTTCAAAGTAATGCACTGCTTACCTGGCCTGTTTCTTCAAATCGCTTTCTATCTGCACTGTCAATGACATAAATCTGTAAAGAATATAAAAGAGACAAAACTGAAATGCATGACATTGTATTCAAGAGATAATTAAACTGAAACAAAACTTTACACCAACACCTTCTCCCAAGCCTGTATAGTTAGAATTAATTCCTGTTTACATCAGTGGCCCTTAAACTCAGGGAAAAGTCATCCAGGATCAGGATTTTTGCCCTTTTCACTAAAACAAACAAACAAAAAATAAACAAACAAAAAAGGGACTTTTACTCCTCTGTATATGCTATCTGAAACAAGCATAGTTTTCTGATAATGAAAGATTTTAGCTTAGTAGATTAGTTGCTATCATGTGTACCTTCATGTATGTGAATATAGATATTCATGGACCAAATGACAGTTTACAAGTATGCCTGTAGTCACTGAACAGGGAGTAGTGTGTGTATGTGATACAAGTATCTTTTACATTTTGCTCCTGTCCCTGCCCAGCGTCTCTGAATGTCTTAAATTTCCTTTACATATCTGATATGGAATTTCCTGATGTTTATGTGTTGTTAGCTCTTATAAACTATCTAACAAAAATGATACAAAGTATAATGGAATGGATTCCAGAAATCCAGCCAGTTACCTTTATACTTTTATTTCCCAATTATGTCAGTTCATCCAACTGAAAGTTGGAAATTTAAAGTACAGTACATTGTGGCCTTGTTTAAAACAATTCTATGTTGACTTATGAAGCCAAATTATGACACAATGATCCACAGGGTCCCTTCTGGCTCTGCAGTTCAAAGGTTAAAGTATTTTATCTCATAAATGCCCCTGTATACCTCCTTTCACACAAATGGCAAGTCAACTATGAAGTCTCTCATATTTTATCTGAACTAGGAAACTACCAGCTTCAGAATACATCAGGGTCAGAGTCTTTTAACAAAAATTTCCTGGTGATGAGGCTTAGGACTCCTGACCTCCTAAATTCAGTAGTTCCAACACAGGCTAAATCCTCAACAAAGAAGGTCATGCTTACAAAACCAACCACCAGATCCCTGCAGCATCTGGCTGTTCTGTAAGGAGTTTTCATTCAAGCTGTACTGGAGACATCACACTCCCAACTTAAGACTGCAGACCAACACCACTGCACCAAGATATGCATACATCAAGTGCCTACTTCCCATAACTGAAAGGACCCACGCCAAATAGCAGCAGGTGTGTGTCTGAATATGCAATCATTCAAATATACACACCTTTATTTGACTCTGCCTAGCTTCCAAATAGCACAGGTGTGAGTGGTTGGAGTATCTCCTATTCAAGCACACCTGCATGTTTATGAATGTGCAATCACTTCATGTTTTAAAAATATTCTTGGAGGAGCCTCTCTCACTTGTGTAATGCTCTTCAGTTTGGGGCAAATTCAGATATCTTAGCTAGCATATCATCTACTTACAAGAAGTACTTTCAAGGCAGACTAAGCTAGCTTGTGCTCTGCACTCCAGATTTTCCTCACAGTATGTTGTGGGTCAAAATGGTGTGAACCTAAGCAACTCTGCTCATGGATTAATGTTTGTTTCTGAAAACCAATCAGAATGATGCATCAAGCAGACAAGCTATTAAGAAAGTTTGAACAAATGGATGCAGAAGAGAGGGAGAAAACAGGAATAACAGGACTGTTTTTTTCCTGACTCTGATTACTCTGTTTAGGCAATACGGTAGTTGGGTTTTTTTGTTCAATTGTCTGAACTGGAGGGGCCACAATTGAGTTGATAAGATTTGTAATAATTCACCTGAGCTTAAAAACAGACATTCCTTTGCTCTAACTATCTATATAAGAGACAGATTAAAGTTTTATAGTTTATTAGTCATATAAGTATTTTTATTTGTTAGGTAAGTCTGCCACTAGAGATAGGGGTATTTGTACTCATATACAAATATGAATATCCTGTATAGAGATGGGGGTATTCATATACGAATATGAATATCCCCATACAGGTGGTGTTAACAAGGGTCCACTCACCGATCCGCCGCAGATGAAGACGGTATGATTCTATGAATGGCTCCATAGCACGCGAGCCACTCGCCACTCCTGGCAGGAGGACAAGCCTCAATGCAAGGTCGAAGAGTGGCGAGCGGATCATGCTGCGGAGCCATTCATAGAATTGTGCCATCCATGTCCACGGCAGATCGGTGAGTGGACCATCCGGCCCGATGGGGCTGGACCCTCGTTAATGTCACCTTTGCGGGGATATTCATACAGTATGTATATATGAATACCCCCATCTCTATACAGGACTTATAGTCATCAGGCAGCTTATTCTAATTTATCCATGTGATAATTTAGCACTAATTATTCTAACTAAAATCTATACTTACTTGAATAGATGCAGTTCATACTGCTGCTCCAAGTTTATTGGAGAAATCTGGAAAGCCCTGAAATCTGCAACTAACTCCTACAGAACTTCCCTGGCAACAGAGTTACTTGTCAGATTGGTGTTTATCTTTAAGACCTGCTTTGTCAGTTGTTCCTAGGTGCTCTTACTGTCAGACACTAAGCAGGTGGTAATAGAAGAAGGTTTCTTTTCAATAACTTTGCTGTGTGTGTGGAACTCCCTCTCTAGGCATGTTTGTGAAGCACTCATACTGTTGTCATCTCAAGATCAATTTATTCTGCAAGACATTTAACTGAGCACTTTCTGCACTAATTTAATTGAATTTTGATTGTCCTACCCAGCTTTCTAATTTTTAGGGACACATTTTATTGTTTTAATTGGACAGGGGTTTTTAAATAGCAAAATGATTTAGAAATTGAAAGGCAGGATATAAATATGTTACTTTTAAAAAATGTTCTTTTTATATTATTGTGGAAGGTTGCTCACCCAGCAGGGGTTCCCATGCTATCTCTCAACAACAAACACACATATAAGATGATTCTATCTGATTTTCAATGTTTGCTCACTCCCACTAAAATCCCCTTACTATATCACAAGCCAGTTGGGCACAGGATACTGAAACAGAGAGGCAACAGAGGTAAGAAAGTTTCGCTCTTATTTGAGCTGCATTCCTTGGATGATGTTTGGATACAACTCATAGATATTGGTACTTGACAGTATGCTATATAAAATTGCCTTCTTTCATCTTTTGGTCTTTGCTTTCTTCGCTATGCTTCAAATAGTCACCTGACTCAGCTGGTGTAGTGTAATGGCTCAGAATAAGAACTATAAGCCACAAAGTCCACACTTTAAATTTCACAGTGCTTATCAGCTGATCGGATGGATACGGGGCACAATTCTATTTTGTGTGTTTGTGATATCCAGGGAGCAAACATGTAATGGCTGCTACCCCCAATACTACTGGGGAAGAAATTATACCAACAACAGTATATTCTCTGTTTATCAGATGGTACAACCCACAGAACCCTTATGTTGCAGAAACTGTGCTGGTGTACAGAGCAAAAGGCATGAAGCCATGGTTATGGTACAGTGGTTAAAGACAATGGTTCTATGTAGTGGGAGGCTTGCAAGCCAGGTCAGCTCTTATACTTCTCTGCTGCCTTTACTTTTGCGTCTGACATCACTGCAACTGTCAGAACATCAAACAGTAAACTTTCCTTTTCTGTTGTCCTCTCAGTTCCTTCAGATGACAGGGCAGGAATATCTACCTGCTAATGTTATAGCAGTATTCTGGACAGCTCAATAGTTTAGGCATCAGGCTGTGGAGCCAAAAACTGGAGTTTCGATTCCTCACTGTGCCTCCTTGAAAGGGGCTGGACTCAATGATCCATAAGGTCCCTTCCAGCTCTGCAGATCTAGGACTGTTGTTGTTGTTGTTGTTGAGGCTGCTCCTCTTGCAGTTCTGTGTTGTCCTGTGCATATATTCTTTCCTTTTGCAAGAAAAATGCTGTTCCCCTCCCACAGACAATGATACAACAGTATTGTCTGGAGTGATCTACTGCCTTCCTCTTGGGAGTACTGTTCTTACGATAGAATCTGAATCATTCTTCCAGGAAACACGTGAGTTCTTCATACATGCCTCCTCTCCCTTGGGCAATGAAACTGGTTAGCTGTTATGACAGGAATGGCACATCTCCTTTCCCTTTATGTCTTACCATGTTTGCTTAGAGAACTAACATTTTGTGTGCAGAAAGTCTGGCCACTGTGTGCACTTAGCTCTACAAAGAAAGATTCCAGTTGCTGCCCTCTTGTTTACTATACTGTAGTAGTTCATAATGAGCAGGATAATCTGGTCACTTTTTGCCTGCCTGGTTGCTTTTGTGTGTGTTTGTACTATGAAAAATAACATCACAGGTTTCCTTGACAATCACTGCGTCTTGACTGGTACATTTGACACTTTTTGTAGGGGAGGCCTCAGAGAATGACCTCATGATTGTTAGATGGCAGCAGTTTCCATGGATGCTATGGATTATCTGTAGTACTTCTTACCATACTAACTTTTGTTTCTTCCACTATTGCCTTGATATTACTCCATCTGCTATGAGTACACACCATTACAGTTACCCTGCTGTTATTGTTAGATTTTGGACAGCAAGATCACAGGACTAACTTGTTGAGACAGCTCCCCAACCTGCTGTCCAAGATCTAACAATATGGGAATATAAATGCTGTGTTAACTTACAGGGTTACAGTCACGAACATCACCAAAGCAATGAATGTAAAGCTGATCATACATTCAAAAAGTCAATTGCATCAAGCAATGGGATTTGTATGCATCCTTCAAAAAATGCCAATGGGGATTAGGTTTTTAAAATGGGATTTCTTTTTGTGCAATGTGGCTGTACACTGGTAACATCCTTTTTCTGTAATTTGTACAGCATCGTGGAGAGAAAAAGAACAGGAATGGAAAGAAGCCACCTTGTAATTTGATTCACATTTTCCAGTCTGAAACAGCAAGAGGTTTCAAAGGAAGAGCAACATCAAATGGAACTCACATCTGAGAGACTGGTTAAAATATTTTTTCCTATTCATATAAGCACTTTGAACCTGCATGCATTTAGATTGCCTAGCTGCTACAAAACCAATGCCTTGATTGTGATTAAGAAAGCAGCATTTCTTAACTGTTAAACCCACTGTGCTATTTACTATAACTCAGTGAGCTGAGTTCCTGACTGAGGAGCTGGAAGTTGGGAATTCAATTCCCCACTGCTTCCCAGGAGAAGAGCCAGCCTGTGTAGTCAGTCCCAGGGAAAATCCTGAAAGGATTCTGGCCAATGGGAAAATAAAGTCCCAGGGGAAAGAAAGGCACTGGCAAACCACTTCTGAGCACTTTATACCTAAGACACCCAGGAAAGGGTGGCCTTAGGTTAAAATTAACCTGATGGCACATACTTATTAGTATTATTTACTGTAGCATATGACCATGGCTGATGCTTACCAGGATATCAGTATTCTCAAAATAATTCCTCCAGTACGGCCTGATCTTCCTCTGTCCACCAATGTCCCACACATTTAGCTTGAAGCCTTGCGCTTGCACACTTTTAATGTTAAATCCCTGTGGCAAACAAAAAGCAAGCAAAGGACAACTACTATTAAACTGACACCTGGCCCCAGACTCACAGGCATACATTATTCACAGCTTATAAATCACAATCTGCAAGTCCTAACAAGATAAGGCCTGTGCTACTATGCTGTGGGCAAGGTGAAGGATACAGCAGGCTTGCACAGATCAGGGTATTTTACTGTCCGAGTTATAAAGATGTATGTTGCAGCTCATAACAAGGAAGAAGGGTGCAGTGGGAGGTGAGAGAACAATGCAGATAAGGAGAAAACACAAAGCTCTGCATGCAGGGAAGTCTCTGCTTCTGAAGGCTGAGTCCAATGTGCAGGCTAATGAGAAGCAGAAGTATGTATGTGAGTTGATATGAGAAAACTAGAAGTAGCTGAACTTCTGAAGAACCCATTTCATCAACTAAAGCTCCAGTTGAAAGGAGTGTGCAACTGGAAAAACAGGATGTGGCGCAGGCTGGCAAAAAGCTGCCATACATTACAGGGGATTGGCTCCCAGCATGGAATTTAAGGGTGGGCTTTTGCTCTGAGGCATGGGAGCATCTCACAAGGAATGTGCTCACAGTCTACAACTGGGGGTGGAGAAGGAACACAACCTTGTACAATCTCTATCGCCACCCAATGGCCAGCTTTGGGATGGTACCAATACAGTATACTGAAAGGGAGATATGTTATTACTTTAACGAATAGCAGGTTGAAGTTCTGTGTCATGAATCCGTAGAAGAGTAACATTTGAATCACATAACATGTAATTTGATTCAGTCTATTGAACTTGAAATTGATCATGGCTCTCTAATGTGTGTCTGTAGGGTAAGCAAATTCCTTTTTCAAGAGAAGCTTATATACTTTATTCTAATGGGTACACATGTTGGGCCTGCAACATATGCATGTTGGTCAGAATCCTAGTGGTGTTTGCATAAGGTTTGCATACTAGCTGCAGCTCACTGCAATTAATTAACTATGTGCCTAAGCAGATCTTGGCTGTGTGCCTCATCAAGAGTCCAAATGCACAACCAAGATGTGCCCTTACACTTTATCAGCCAACTACAATTAGACAGGGCAAGTTATTACAAACTTGTACGAATACCAGTAGGATTCTAGCTGTTATTATCTTAACAGGTGAAGAGCTCCATAGTACAAGTCGCATGGATCTAAGAACTATGGTCATGTCTAGGAAAACAGAAAATTACACTAGAGTGATGATATCTGTAGCTTTCTCCCTCATGTCATCTAGTTTTAGGATAATACTCAGCTCATGGTTATATGACCATGTAAGAAACATAATTGCAAACAGAATTATTTACAATAGTGCTCTGAGATCAGAGTCTAGGCATAATTCTGAAAAAAATAAACACATTTAGTAGCTTGACACCATTTCACAATTATTTTCATTATGTTATGGGAAACTCAAAGCTAAAGTCTTACCCATACAAGTTTAGACCGTTTGTTTTGTTTCCTCACAAACCATATTCCAAGTGTTATTGGTGTACTCAAACATGTACAATCTGGTGAAGCAGAAGTACCTTTCTTACCTGTGTTGGAGTGATGTGGGTAATATCTTCTGATGCTAGTTGTTTCAAAAGTGTGGTCTTCCCTGCATTATCCAATCCCAGGAGGAGGATTCTGACCTCCTGGTCTGGTGCACTCTTCAATTTACGCAGAATTGACAGCAAACCCTGTGTCAGTTCAAATGGTGGAAAACTTATTAATGTTATTTTCACTGTAATTTCTTAAGTACTGCCTGCAAGTACATAACTTAAAATCAACTGAAATAAAAGGAAGACTAGAAGAAAGGATATGGAATATGGGGGAGGGAGGAAATCAAAGGCAATATTAGGAAATATGTATTCTGAAGCAAAATTTGAGACACGGGGTTTATAGAAGACAATGAATTGGAAAAAGAAGACGGCGGTTTTCGAGGAGAAAAAATTCCAAGAGCAGGGCAAAAAATCACAGGGAATGAATAAAGAGAATGCTAACAAAACTACAAGACTAACCAGAATGTTAAATTGAGCACATTGTAATGAATAAGAAGCACACATGGAGAAATCAAGAAGCAAGACCATGAATAGTCTTGGAGTACACTCAGGCAGAAAAGAGTAGCCATAAAGGAAAAAAAATGGGTATATAAGTTCAGAACAGTGCAATAGAAAATAAGCAGCACAATTGGATCTCACCAAGAAAAAATATTAGCATAATGACTCTGAGAAAGAAAGAAAATTGAAGTCTTAGCTATCCAAAAAGCAGGATTTTTAAAATAAATTGAATTAAAAACACTTATTGTAGCTATTGTACTGATGAAAAAATAGAAATCAGTGTTCGATAACATACCAGCACTGCAATTAACCAAGCAGCAGTTAAAGATACACTGGCCAGAATCCTTTCAGGATTTTAGTCTGGGGTAAATTTAATTGTATAAATTACTATGGTAAATAGCAACTCATTAACAAGCTGCCAGTCATGCATCTGGTTGCACACCTGATCATGTGACTGGCATGTAACCAGGCATATCACTGGCTCTTTGTTAATTAGGTTCAATTTGTTGCCACAGAATATGCGAAGATATGATGAATTTAGTTTTGCCCATTTTTAATTTTAAATTGTGTTGGGGCATCTGAGATAATGTTACAGTTAATCATTGTAAGAACAACAGAATGCTGACGCAAAGGAAAAATTAGTATAATTAGCAAAAAAATTAGTATAATTAGCAAAAAAAGAGAGGTAAAGCTAAGGGAGTGAATTAGCTGGCTAACATGGGGAAATATATAGGGAAAAGAGTAAAGGAGACTAAGCCCCATGGATAAAGATGGGCACACAGCTCAGTTAGGAGGTTTGTACTGGTTTGTACATGTGGCACAACAAATGCTGCAAGTTCCCTTCCCTGCCTCCCCAACGGATGATCCATTCAGCAGCCGTAGCACGCTCCTCTCTTCCTCCTCTGGCTATTCGACCAGTCCATGGCAGGAGCATGGGCTTGCCTATCCTGCTTCCTTGTCCGAGTGGGTGATCAGCCAAGGAGGCACGGCAGCGAGGCCCCTGCTCCTGCTGGAGACTGAACAGCCAAAGAGGAGGAGGAGAAGTTTGCACACCGGCTGGTGAGTGGGGATCCAGCTGAGGAGGTGGGGAAAGGGAATGTGCAGCATTTGTGGTGCCATACATAGAAACTAGCACAAATTTCTGAACCGAGGTTTGTGCCCATCTCTACCCATGGTAGATGAGAAATAGAAATATGTGGAGCTGTAAAACCAAGGGTTGAAAACAAAGAACAAAGGGAACAGGCATTAGCTAACACAAGAAAGCTTGCGAACAAAACATTACAACAATCAATACAGAATGAGAGTTCTAGTAGAATCAGGATTCATTTTCAAAATACCATGCAGAAAACATACAAAATTTAGCCAGGACAGTAACACACACAAAGAAAGAAAAGGATCACAGATTATGCCTAGGGCATTAGTCAAACATTCTCTGCACTTGTCTAGCAATTAGATTTGCACTCTCTCTTGGTACATTCATGAACTAAACTAGAAGGTGCTATAGCAAGAAATAAGAACAAATGCTCAAATTGGGTGCTCTGTTTTGTCAACTTCCTGTCACTTCTTCCATCTTGCAGGTGCTTCCCTCTTCTTGCAGTTCCCACTAAAGTGAGGAACTGCCGTTAGGATAAGATTCGAAAAAGCATAGTACTAAATCATTTTTGTCAAGTATTAGGTCTAAAGATTGGTGCAATAAAGAATTTCAGTTAAGCTGTTGAAGGAGTTTCGTTAGTTAGCATTATCACCAGCCAAACCCCTTTCGTATAAAAACCTGTTATCTGAATCTTCCTCTCAGCTTGATTCAGATACCATGAATTCCTACCTCAGAATGAGTCTGATAACTCACATTTTGCACAAATGAGACATTTTTCTGTTAGTGCTCTTGGAATACATTTATTGCAAGACTCTCAATTCTTGGCATTGTGTGGCCAAGAAAGTTCAATAGCTTTCAGACAACTAGACCCTAATGCTGAGAGAGGTTTTGAGAGTTTCAGAAAAGAATTTGCCTATGAGTTTTTCTACAGTGCAAAAAATGCTAGAAATAAGAGTGTATATTAGTAGTATAGTACACTCACTCAAACACCTGTGCTGCTTTTAAGTATCAGCTGGAAGGGCAGGCTGGATATTAATATGTAAATATGTTTGAAATGCTTATTACAACCAAATAAGAAACAGAAGCACCAGCCATTGGATGAGAAAAAATGCTACAAAGTCAGAAGACCTTTTTCATAGATCCAGCTTTATTAAAGGCCTGGTCTACCCATAGCTACCCCTTCATGGATTGCTGCCTTGTCGTGGTGAAGAGGCTTGAGTAACTCAGAGAAGCTATGGGCTATGCCGTGCAGGGACACCCAAGACGGACAGGACATAGTGGAGAGTTCCGACTAAACGCAATCCACCTGGAGTAGGAAATGGCAATGCCACTCCAGTATCTTTGCCAAGAACGCCCCATGATCAGAAACAAAAGGCTAAAAGATATGAC